TAAAAATCCAAATAGACAAACACTTGAAAAGGTGGTCAACCTCATTAGTCAATACTAGAAAGGCTAGCACATATTTACAAAGGTCAATAGCAAATGATATTAAGGATATGAAGTAGCTGGACCTTTCACCATGCTGGCAGAAGTGTAAACTGGTAATAACCACTTTGGAAAACAACATAATAAGTAGAACTAAAAACATAAACAGTCCAGGAGAAAGTTCCAGGCAAAAACTACAAAACAACCCAACTGCCTGACTGAAAAATAGGAGTGGTAATGAAGTTTTCTAACACCAAATACGTAAACACCTATATCACAACATCTGGCACAGATAAAATCCACTCCATATAATGCAATCTTATCCCTTCCTAAGTAGACAAATGGATATTTGTAATTTAAAGATCAGGCTCAAAACACATCCCAATGGCTTCTTGTCTCACACACACAAAAAAAAACTCTAACAAATGATCTGTTGCTGCTCTCACACTGACTCATTCTGATCTGCTCACACTAATGAGAAAACTCTTCTTCAAAATGTCCTTCATACATCCAGCAAGCTAATTCTCCAGTTATTGTAGGGTTTCTGCTCAAACTGTAATAGACATGCCCTCCCTGACTACTTACATAAGAGGCATTCCCTATAATTCCCTTACCTTCCCTTTTTTTTTTTTTTTTAACCTGGCCTTTTTTAGCATCCATCACCAGATATTTCAAATGTGCCTACTGCATGTCTTCACCATTATCGCAATTTCCATGAAAGCAAAAACTTTTTCTATTTTTTTCATTACTGCACACTCAGCAGAACATGCATGGCATACAGTAGACACTCAATAAATACTTGCTGAATAAATTCTATGACTTGGATTCCAGGCTTAGAGAGAATAACAGCTGCTATATGGAGTTCAAGGCTGACCATTCCTTAATCTTAGTTTATCATGACAAATATGAAAATCCTCCAATAATTAAAATTAGCTGTTCCACTTGAGGAAAATTTTAAAATATTTACTTCTATTTATTCTATTTTAATATTTACTTCTAATTAATTACTTCTAATGCATTAATTCTCCAAGGCTCTATCATCAGGAAAATATAATCCACATGAAAATTCCAAGTGAGAATTACATAAGGCACTCAATAATAAATTATCCTAATGAATTTGCCTATCTTAACTATTATCCTATAAATAAACCTATGAAAACCATACTTTGTACCACCTTTTTTCATATTACAGTAAAATCTCAGTAGTTTCATTAATAAAAGATGATAGCATTTGAAGATATATACTCTCCCAGAAATATCCCCTTTAGCCAGAAACCCAAATTTGAACATAATGCATTTCTAAGACAGAATCAGATTTAATAAGATCTTAGTACAAGGAAACCTAGAACAGCCCAAGATATTCCACATCAATCCTACTTCAGTCACAATCTACACAGGGTCCCCAAGTAGCTTACATTTTTCTCCCAAATATTTTACTACTACCGATTAAAAAAAAAAAGACATCCAGTTTAAAAAGTTGATCTCGATTTTCCTCCTTTTTTTTTTCAGAGAATTAAAACCTTTGGAAAACAACTGGAGGATGTCTGAATAAATTATACGTACCAGCTCTGGAGTATCTGAGAAATAAACCTATCTAACTGGGGTTCAAACCAGCCAAGAGTCACTTTTCAGCAATTAAAGATATAACATCCCAGTTTGCATAACAACTAAGTTTTATTGACATAAACTTTATTAAAAAACTACAATCTCATCCAACTTCACAAACTTTTGGGTAAATAATTGGGTTTTTTTTTTTTTTTTGAGAGAGAGAGAGAATTTTTAATATTTATTTTTTTAGTTTTCGGCTGACACAACATCTTTGTATGTGGTGCTGAGGATCGAACCCGGGCCGCACGCATGCCAGACGAGCACGCTACCGCTTGAGCCACATCCCCAGCCCAATAATTGTGCTTTTAAAACAATAATGTTTTCCTAAATAAAGTGAATATTTATGTACATGTAATTGGAACCATACTGTACATACTATTCTACAGTTTTTAATGCCTGCATAATAGCTCATTATATATATCATGATTTATTTAACCAATCCCCTAATGCTAGATTTGTAGTTTTTTCATTATTCTAAACAAAGCTACTCAATAAAAAAATTAAAAATAAATAAATAAATAAAATAAACAAAGCTACTGAGAATTTTTCTTAAATGTCTTTTTGCTAGATCAAGAAAAAGTATAAGCCAACTCTTTAACTAACAAAAAAAAAAGGGGGGGGGGACTCTGGGAAATGATTCAGCTATGCTTCTGTAAGTCAAAGTGAAAACGATGTCCCTTATGTATTCTTTTCCTCAGACTGCCAATTTCTTGATTTCTTATCATTTTCATTCAATGGCTTAAGTGAATAAACAAGAGACAAATAGGGAAACTCAAGGTAAAACTTCTTATACTCCTTAGGGGAATTAAAAAAAAAAAAAAAACTTTGGAGCAACATTTCACCCACATTATTCAGCAGGCCTTCTTAACCAAGATTCCCAGAGTAACTTATGACCTAAGCCTACAGCATCCATTTTATGTACCTCCAATGTATAATTAACTTATTCCTCCCTTTTATTATCCTAGAAAAAAACATGAAAATATAGTCATCCATAATTTTCTCTCATGGAACCCACATAGGGAAAGGCCAAGACCTAAGCCATATCTGACTTGTCTGAAGGAGTACTAAGTGTCACATTAATATAAAGCTATTATGACATTTTCTCTTTTACATTCAAAATGTCACCCTGTTTCTCTAATACTAGTGTCTAATGTAATATACTCTTAAAACTGGGTTGACTTGGGAGCTGGAGGTGTAACTCAGTAACTTGCTTAGAATATGAGGCCCTTGATTTTGTTCCCAGCACTATCAAAAAAATAAATAAAACATAAATATGGGTTGATTCTAAAGCCTGAATAAAGTCCCTCACAAAAAAATTTAATTCACTACTTACTAGGTAAAAACCTTCCTGTACTAAACTATAATTAAAGCATAGTTAGCTATCCAAAATATTTTCTGGGATGATAGGGTCTCCTGTCCACTGATACAGATCCTTCTATTAAGTAAATGTAGTCTATTCAGTGACGGGTTTTATCATGAACTGGGAATCAATTTACATACCCATGACAGACATGCAGACTTATTTAATGTTTCAAATAAACCTTAACAAAACAAATAATTTGGTAACATGGTTAATGTCCACTGAATTCCTTTCCCACTAGACTGTAACTGCAAAGGCAGTTGTTTTTCTCAAAATGTAACTGGATACAATACCAGCAAGCTGTTCAGAGCATCCCTTGAAAAGTATCCTTCCTATTTCAGTCACACTAACATCAGAATAAAATCAAAAATATATGTTTTAAGATGCCAAATGAGAGAAAACATATTAGTCAGCATTATGCACACACTTGAGGCAAAAGTAATTCCACTAAAAGCCAAAGGCAATAAAACACCAACTTCTAAGGGTCTGTTTTGAAAGAACAAAAAATATAAACAGTTTAACAAAAAAGAACAAAGTTTCATGAAGAGTTCTTTCTTTCTTCTTTCCAATTTTCCTCTTTTAAAAAAATCAAGATGCTTTGATGTCCTGTAATTTAAACACACTAAAGTAGGTGAATTTTTCACCCTCCCCCTATCTTGAAGTCACCAAGTTTAAAACCCAACAGTGGTACATGGTATTAGAAAAAAATGGCCTCCAAAAGGAAATCTAATGCAAAAAAAAAAAAAAAAAAGAACAAAATAGGAATGATTTCCAGTTTAGCCCAACAGGTGGTTTCCAAACAAAGCAGGAATAAGGTTCTATGAAAAACCCCACCCAGGTACCTGAGTATATTTATCTATGTAAGCAGTCATTTTTATTCAGAAATGCCATAGAAAAAAAGGTGTGCTGATCCTTATTAAAAGATTCTCAAGTCTTCATAGTTTTGAAGCAATTTCCTAACCCTTTACAATCCATGATACTCTCTCACAATAATGACATGGGGCATTTTACATAAATATTGCTTTTCAAAGCAAAAATTTCAAGACACTTCAGGTGGCAGAATTCACCTGAAATACCACAGAACTCGCAAGAAATTTTCAGATTTAAAAATAAAATTAACCGGGTAAACTTTTTTATACAGAAAATCAAAAATTAGAAAATACAAAACTTGGGTTGGGGTTGTGACTCAGTTGTAAAGCACTTGCCAAACACGTGTGAAGCACTGGGTTCGATCCTTAGCACCGCATACAAAAAACAAATAAAATAAAGGCATGCTGTCCATCTACAAATACAAAAAAAAAAAAAATTAAAAAAGAAAAAAATACAAAACTTTCTCCTTTCCTGATAGTTTAAAACTCACTAATCATACTAGTCAAATTAAAATTTAACAAAATGGCATTCTATTTTGTCAAATACTAAACCACCCAAACTGAGACTGTTCAAGAAGCATACCAAAACAAACATAGTAAAACTTCTATGTGTAATCAAATAATGAGCAACAAAGAGAATACATTTTGGCAACATTTAGATAATAACAATATAAAAAGAGAAAGGTGAACACTTCCATTTACAGTGTTCCCCCCCCAAAAAAAAAAAAATATTCCTACGCACTCTTTGCACGCATTTAACTCAAAAACTCAGTTTTAGGTACAAGCTAAAGAGACTGTCACATCCCTCCTTCCCATCCCTCCCCGCTGCTCGAAGGTCAAAGGGCTCCAGACAAAAGACAACAAACGCACGTGACAAAAGTTTCTCCCAACACTTCTCTCCAGGCCTAGAGCCAGTCAGTGCTCCTCTCGCGTGCAGGCTCAGGAGAGAGCTGAGCCCTGCTCAAGGGGTTGCGGCCCAAAAAAGGCCAGAACAGGCCGGCTGGATGACTCGGCCCCCAGCCCCCGGAACCCGGAGCGGGGCACCTGCAGGGCGCGGGCGCCTCCCGAGACCGCGGCGACAGGCGGAAGCGCGGGGCAAGGGCCGGGGCCGGAGCGCGGCCTGTTACCTTTTCCTGCTCCTCGCGGAGCCGCGCCACCTCCGGGGCACGCAACGGCGCCGCGGCCGAGGCCGAAGCGTGGGATTCGGAGTCGGACGGGGCCTCCATGAACGGGGCACCCGGGGCCTCAGCGGGGCGAACGAGTCCTAAACAAGTGTTTATGGAGGCGGCGTGGCCGGCTGCTGCCCAGAGCCCTCGTGCTCGCCTTCATGCACTGCGCGCCCGCCGCTGAGGAGGCCGCGCTTGTCTTCGCCGCTGCCGCGGGGGCCGCTGCTCGCGTCCGGACTGCCCGCGGCCGCATCTCACACACGCATGCCGCCCGCTAACGCCGCCGCCGCGGGCTGGGAGCAGCAGGCCCGCAGCCGAGAGCGGAAGGCGACTCTTGGGTGGCCGGGCCCAGCCAGGAGTCCCGTGGCGGCCGCGCCTCCTCCGCACCTCCCCCGCAGACCCCGCCCCTCGCCCCGCCCCGCGCGGCACGCCGGGAAGCGAACGCGCTCCCCCACGCAGGCCCCGCCCCGCAGTGAACGTGGTACAGAGGCGCGCGGAGCTCGCTGGCCCCCTCCGAGACTACGCTGGGTTTGCAGCCCTTGACAAGCTTACATTCTAGGAGGTCCGGGCTCAGTATTCAGAGCTATGAGCCTTTTACTGCCTGGTGTCCCCCGCACCCCGCGCCCCAGTCGTTCAGCGCTGCATCTGGCTGAAGGAGCTTAATTCGTTTCACTGAAGCTGTTTCACAAGAACATTTAATTTTAGTAAATTCAACTCTTTCCTGTGTCTTTTTAATTAATTAAAATATACAATTATATTTTGCTTATGCATTAATTACTGTACACATTCGAATTTTTCCTCATGTATATTAAGCTGCTACACTAATATTACAGTGTTACCATATACGGACTATTAAAGAGATTGTTTTTTCAAGAGTAGCTTTGCCTGAACTTTTCCTTTTATTTTAAAACTACAGTGCCCTATTGCTCCTCTAACCCTTTGTACAGCCTCTGTACACAGTAGGCCTCCGATTAACCTTACTGAATGGAACTGACCTTGTCCTAATCCCGCTCCAATCCCTAACAGTAGTGATGGGTCCTGTTCCTTCAGCGTTGTAAAATGGGAAAAGACTGGGAGGTGCATACAGAGTTTGCAAGCTGATGTGTGTACTTGCTCCTGCTCTTCTCTCTCTTCTGGCCAGCTCCGAAGTCCAGTTCCAACCTTTTTCCCTTTGCTTCAAAGAAAAAAGCAAGGACAATTTGGGGGAAGTGTTAATTCCTGTCTCTTCCCCTCTGCACGACCAACCATCCTTACCTCTGAAGCATAGTGAGAATAAAACCACTCTTCAAAGTGCTTCCGGAACCACCATTATCTCTCCATCCTCAACTACCTTAGTAGCTATTTCCCGGAATCACTGCTTCTATTTAAACTAGCTCCAATAATGGACATGGGCAGGGGCTCACCCTACCACTCTACTTTGAGGTGCTAAACTGTATATCACATAGCCCTGTGTCTGTGAGAAGCTGACCCACCCCTAGCTTCAGGGGAAGGGTAATGCATTTTCCTTGGAAGTGGTTGATTCAGGAATGGGTGTGTGACATCACACAAAGGTTTCCAGAGAAAATGCTTCCTAATTATTTGGAAAGTTGTAAAGAATATATTCCTTGGCTAAGAAATATAAAACAAGTAGCCCTGCGTGTTTCATACAACTCTCCTGGACCACCTAGAAAAGGCCAAAACACAGAATGAAGTTCAGTCTTTAGCCAGCAAAACTGAGAAACAGAACCTGAGTCCCTGATTATATCAGAATTTGATTCAGGGATGAATCAATCAACTCTAAAGTCTGCATTACCACTGGACTTCTGGCTGAGCAAGGCAGTTTACTATCACTAACAGCCAAAGACAATCTGATTCACACACACCCAATCTAGTCTCTGCTCGATAGCCTGAGTGAGCTTTTAAAGTAATCAGATCACATCATGCTCAGAGTTAGAGCATTCCATGGCTTCCCACTGCAACTGGAATCAAATCCAGATAGCCTGATGGAATTTTGCGTTATCTGACCTTCCCTATCCCCTTGCAAGCCTCCATACCATGTTTCTTCAGACATGCCAGACTGATTACTCCCACAGGGTCATTGCACTTGCTGTATGTTAGCATCCACATATTAGAGAGAACATTCAGCCTTTGGGTTTTTTGTTGTTGTTGTTGTTTGTTTTTGGTTTTTTTGGTTTGGCTCATTTCACTTAGCATGACAGTCTCCTGTTCCATCCATTTACCAGCAAATGCCATAATTTCATTCTTCTTTAAGGCTAAGGAATATTCCATTGTGTATATATACCACATTTTCTTTATCCATTCATCTGTTCAAGGGCACCTAGGTTGGTTCCATAGTTTAGCTATTGTGAATTGAGCTACTATAAACATTGACGTGGCCAGGTCACTATGGTATGCTGATTTGATGATGGTATAAACCAAGGAGTGGGATAACTGGGTCAAACGGTGGTTCCATTTCAAGTTTTCTGAGGAATCTTCATACTGCTTTCCAGAGTGGTTTCTCCAATTTGCAGACCCACCAGCAATGTATGAGTGGACCTTTTTCCCCACATCCTCACCAACATTTATTATTACTTGAGTTCTTAATAATTGCCATTCTGACTGAAATGAGATGAAATATCAGTGAAGTTTTAATTTGCATTTCCCTAATTGCTGGAGATGTTGCACATTTTTTTATGTTTGTAGGCCAATTGTGTATCTTCTTTTGTGAAGTGTCCAGATTCTTTGCCCATTTATTGATTGGGTTATTTGGTGTTAAGTTTTTTGAGTTATGTCGCAGTCTGGCTGGGTACAAATCACGAGCCATTGAAGCAGGAACAAACTTTATTTCTGAACTCCACCAGCACACTCCATACATGCTCCCCAGGAATTCCCCGAAACGCCATGCGGCTCCTCCAGGAACACACCACATCAACTGGAAATCCCTCCTCTGGAAAATCCCTCCTCCTGCACTTCCCCAACCAAAGGGAACTCTCCAGGAATCCCCTCCAGAACTCCAAAGTAGCAGGCCAAGGCTGATAGCAGGGGTCTAATATGCAATTGAATACACAGTTTAACATAACCATTATCATCTCAGTGGCTTGCTGGCCTCTCAACCACTCTGTTTTGGCAAAAATGCCGTTCGTCATTCCGACTCAGCTATGGCTCTCAGCAGAGTTATTTATATATCCTTTGCACATTTATTGATTTTTTTTTTTTTTGGTGTTAAGTTTTTTTGAGTTATTTACATATCCTGGAAATTAATGCTGTATCTAAGGTGCAGGTAGCAAAGATTTTTTTTCCCATTCTGTAGGCTCTCTGTTCACATTCTTGATTTGTTTCCTTTGCTGTGAGGAAGCTTTTTAGTTTCATTCCATCCCATTTATCCATTCTTGATTTTACTCCTTGCACCATAGGAGGCTTGTTGAGGAATTCAGTTCCCAACATGATGGAGATTTGGGCCTACTTTCTCTTCTAGTTCTATCTGCAATTCTTCTCCCAGATCTTTACCTTATTGGTGACTTTTCTTCACTGAGGCCTCAGTTCAAATAAAGAAACTTTCCTGATATTCTTTCCACAGAAACCCCTCCCTTCTCCTCTAAGCATCCACTGTTACCTCACTGTTTACATTTTCTTCATAGCGCTTGCTTATCACTTTAAAATGATCAGCTATCCTCTGTCCCCATTTGATTATCCATTAGGGAAAGGACTTAGAAGACATTCAATGTGCTTTCACTAAACCAGAGAACCTGGCCTTATCATGCTGCCTCAGCCTTTTCCAAGACTCTTCTTTGTGGTCTCCTGCTAAGTACCAAATGCAGACCCACCAGATGTTCTATTTGAACAGCAGAAAACAAACCAGGCTGTGTTAAATGTTTCATTTAATATAAGAATGTCAAGTGTGGCAGAAAAAGAACTCGGACTCTCAGAACAAAGTTCTTGTCCCATCTCTGCCACTTATCTGCTGAGAAGACTTAGACAAGAACCTCAACCCTCTCTGAACTTCATTCATCTTTACAAAGAATATTAGAACAATGCCTGCCCCAGAGTTTTCCTAATAAAGACCCATCACAAATATAAAAGCCCACAGATAATGGCTTTAGTCTTCTAGAATCCTTCAAATAATAATCAGTTACCCAGGGGAAGTCAGCTACCCCAAAACATTTTTAATAATAATAAATAAAAAAGCTAATTTCAGAAAGTATTTGTTGGCCCCCTTTCCAAGTAGCAGGCCCCCTGCTGGGCATGAGTGACAAGAGATGACCAAGACCAGCACCAACCCTATTTATGGATCTTTGACTCATGGAGAGCCACAGACCTTGGAGGAAATGCTGACAATTTTTGCCAAAGATTCATTCTTACTCCCGATGTCAGAAGAAAATGGTCCCCTCAACATCCTTTTGGATAAGTTTGATCACTTTATTCCTTAACTATGTGGGTTTTTTTTTTCCTGTATGTGTCAATCTCTCCCCCAAAGGGTAGAGATGAAATCTTCCTCAAAACTGTAAAATCCATAGCACTAAGCATGGGGCCTAGATTTTACTACCTCTCAGATTATAGTGATAGAAATTCAACTGAAAGTGACTGTGAAAAAAAAAAAAAAAAAAAAAGCACAGCAGGAAACTCTAAAGGATCATTCTATTCATTAAAAAGTCATTAGCTGGGGATGTGGCTCAAGCAGTAGCATTCTTGCCTGGCATGCGCAGGGGCCCTGGGTTCAATCCTCAGCACCACATAAAAATAGAATAAAAGATGTCCACCGAAAACTAAAAAATAAATATTAAAAAAAAAATTCTTTCTCCCTCTCTCTCTTTATTAAAAAAAAAAAGTCATTAGCTGGGAACACACAAACACTCAGAATCAACTATTTTGAAACTCTGGAATTGTCATCAGACCCTTATAAACACCCAGCGGAATGCCTGATCAAGAAAGAGTCTGCTATTGTTTCTAAGAGAACAGTAGAATAAGATGTAAATCATGCCACTCTTCAGCCCCAGCCCTACCATGGAGCTGTAGGAATGGTGTTCTTAGAGTGCCTGAGTGATGTCAAGGTAGGCAATAAGATCCATATCCTCCAAAAACTTGGACTTGTGCATTTGATTGGTCTAGCCATTTCCTTGAAAGACTGTGAAAAAACCTCTGTCTTGATTTCATCCTTCTCTGGCTTCCCATAACAACATCTACTAGAAGATTTAAATGGAAAGAATACCATTGTGGAACCAGATATCTAAGAAAATTTTTGTCAGGTCACTGAACTGCTGAGATAATAGAACAAAAATTTCAATGGTCATACAAAACAAGGACTACATACTTTGCAAATTATAATTTGAAAAAAGTCACTAAACAGATGGCTGAAGTCTTTAACGAACAAAAATTGGCAATTTGTGAGAATTAATGCTG